GTCAGTCCCCAGACTCAACCAACCCAGTGAATATTCCCTACCTCATACTGGTTATGAAATAAAGTATAATCACTGTAAGTATTGTGGTAAATAAATACATTCGCCTCTCATGGTTGTGAAGGTTACAGGGCTTTTCATAATATATGTCTGCCATTATTATTATCACCAGTTCCTTAATGAAGAGGAATCAGAATGACACCAAAATGTTCTTCCATAGTGTTTCTAATTCTTTGCCTTTATAGCTAAGTCATACCTTTCTCTGCACTGCCAAGCAAATTGAAGCACGGAGAGGGTAGGGACTTGCTGAAAGCTAGACAGTCAATGACAGACCCAGGACAGTGAAGTCCGACCGAGGTTGAGACAATGTACACTGAGCGTCAGTCTCGACGCGCGGCTGCTCCAGCTTTTCCAGCTCTTCCCTAGCACTAGGCCCATCTGACCCCGCGCTGGTCTCCGGGGGGACTCTGTCGCACAACTGACACAAACCGTGACGACAGCCCTGCGGCAAGGTACAAGTGACCTTCTTTTCTGCCAGGGTTAAGGTGAGTACCACCGCCCTGGGGCGGAGGCGTCAGAGTGGAAGCCACCGCCCTCTCACTGGGCCAGGCCTGAAAGCCAGCGCCTGGACAAACCCACCCACCCATCGCACCCACCCAGGATACCTCTTCCCCGATCCACGGGGCGGGACCCACCTGTGCTGGAGGTCGCGACTCCCAGCTCAGCAAAGCGGGAGGAAATGCCAGCAAGGAGAGCCTCGGGAGGCAGCCCTACGCCCGCCTTCTGCTTTTTCGCCCGAAAACTGTCTGCCCAGCGCTCCCCTCCCCCAGCCTGTTCGGGCCCGGCTGCACGCCTGTAGGCCCCGCCCCTCTCCTTCCGGCTATGCCGGGTTGGGGCCTTGCACGCCTGGGACCTAGCCAGCTGTGGGGGCGTGCTAGAGCTTCTGATCCGGAAGGATCAGGTTGGGGCTCTCTCGTTGATTACCCTCATTTAGATTTGGAACCACAGATTCGTGTAAAAGCCAGGTACCTTGCTTGCCTTTTCAGGACTCCTTACAGTACGCTCGTATTTATGGTATTTTATTGAGGTTTACTGGAACTGAAATTCTTCCACTATCCTTCCATCACTTTCTTGAACTTACATTGCATACCATTCAGTGCTGGACTCCCCAGTTCTGTTCAGCACCTTGAATCCAAGGTTCAGGTACAGTGCTAAATACAGTCAGCACTAGACGGGAGTGAGCCATTATGATGTATGTTTTATACAAGTGAAAATTCAGGAACCATACATATTACAAAGAAGGATAAAAATGCACTGAAATAGTATGTGCAGTGGAAATACACAGCAGAGGGGAAAAATTGAGACCAACAACAAACAACAGGCATAATGTATAGACGCTTAAAATGGGAAACTGACCAGTATTGTACTTATTAAAGATGAAAATCTTTAGTCTGATATCAAAAGGGTAATAATAAATGAAAAAATTTGTAAAAGGATCAACAGAAGAATAAAAACCCTTCACACTTTCGTCTTGGAATTCCTTCTGCCAGATGCTTTACCCCTACTTGTCTGTTTGGAAAATTGCTACTCATTACTTTGGACTCAATTTAGATATTACCTCCTTTATGAATCCTTCCTTTTCTTTCCCGGATAAATTTATATTCTCCCTTTTCATGGCTCCAATATGATCAATGGATCCAGCACAGGCCTCAAGTATACCACTTATCATTCTGAATTTTAATTTCTCTCTTTGCATGCCAGTGTCCTCTAGTGAACAAGTAGCTTCTTGAGAGCAGAAAATTTGTATTTTTCAAATTTATTTTCTAAGTCTCTAGCACACAACCTAACAGATAGTATGTGTTTAGTGAATATAAAAAGACTATATGATGTGAATTAATGTACAGAGGAATAACTGAATAACGTGAGATGATAGACTCAGACTGGTGTTCATTCATGCAGTAAACATTAATAAGTGTCTGCTGAACCCAGGTGCAATATTAAGTGCTGACTATAAAATGGTAAACAAAAAGCAGATAGAGTTCATGCCCTTTTGGAGTTTAAAGAACAAATAGGAATTTGACATGCAAACAGGAAAAGGAACATTCCATACAGAGAGAACAGCATGATCAAAGGTCTTGTAATAGGAAGGAGCATGACAGTAACAATTAGAGTGAATAAGATCAATAAAGGTAAGGTGAAATCAACAGATACAAAGTACCCAGAAATAGGCAAGATGTTGATAGATAAAGCCTGTCTAAGAGTCAGAAAAAGAAGCCATTTGCCTTAGTAATAGTAACCAACATTTATTAAACCTGTGCTTCATGCCAAGTGTTGGGCTAAGTGTTTCACAGCAAATATTTAAGGTAGATAATATTATCCTTGCTTTACGGATAAGGAAACTGGGGCACAGAGAAGTCAAGTAATTTCACCAGGATCACACAGTATTTAAGTTTCAGGACTGCTATTCAAACCTACATAATCTGGCTCCAGGCCTGAAGGTAGTAATTGTAATAAAAGTACAAGTAAAAACTACAAAGAGCTCTTTTACAAAATATGTTCATTATTTTCAGATATTTGGCATCTATAAGAAACAATATGAAGAGATTCAAGAAACAATATCCTGGACCCAAAATTAGTGCTCTAGACATAAAAGTTTGGCATAGACATTGGATGGTATTAGCAATGGTAGTGGTGCCTTTGGTAGGTGATACCATCAAACAGCAATGATGTTAACAGGCATCAGCAGCAAACCAGAGAACAGAAGGAAGAAAGTAGTTGTCCCTCAGTGCTCTTTTGTGGAACACATATGAGATGTGGAGCAAAGGACATCAATTTCTTATTTCACAAATGAGCATAATAATAGTATCTATATCACAAGGTTGTGAAGATGAAATGAGATAATATGTGTAAAGTACCTGACCATAACTGAAACACAGTAGATGCTCTATGAGTATTAGCTGCTGTGATGATGAAGCATTTTAGTGCCTGGAGGAGGGGAGGTAGGACCAGTCAGGGAAGGTGGGGTTCAGGTACAATTCGTGACATGATATATCAGGAAAATATTGAATAGGTGGTGAGAACAAAGTTTATTTCCTCCTCTTTGCATCAATTGAATCATCTCCCCCTCATTTTCAGTTAGTATTTACTATTCTGTTATAATTATTTACTTGTTGGTTTCCCTTAGTATGATTTGTGTGTGTTTGTGGGAAGCAGTTAACATAGTATTTAGGACAGGGTGGGAACTTAAAGAACACTTGTTGAATGAGTGAGTTAATGTCTGAATAAAAAGCAGTAGGTATAAATTGCTACAAAATAAGAAAAATTTTTTAGAAAAAGCAATGATAGTGTCTGGGATCTTTTATGTTTTAGTCATACTGGCCTTCCTTTCCTTATGTTCCTAGAACTCACCAGGCTTGTTACTGCTCTAATTTCAAAAATATAATCTGCTCATCTATTTGTCTCCATCCACACTGCTAATACTCCAGGCCAAGTGTTGGCATTTTTTAAAAGGTCAAATAGTAACTATTTTAGGCTTTGTGGGGCACATACCATCTCTGTCTGCCACTATTCAAATCCAAATTCATTGAGCAAAAACAGCTACAGGTAGTATTTAAATGGTGAGTGTGCATGTGTTCAAATTAAATTTTTATTTACAAAACAGACAGGAGGCAGAATTAGGCCTTTGGGCTCTAATTTGACAACCCTTACTCTAGACTAAATTACCACCATCTCTTGCATGGACTATTGTATGAGAATGATGTGTGGAAGCCATCATCTTTGGCCAACATGTACATCTTGGTTTTATCAGCATCTTAATGAAGCTTTCATGTTCTCTAATCCTGGTCAGAACCTTAAGAGTTGTTGAAAAGTGTCTCAAAGTGTGTATTGTAATTTTGAATTTTTATTCGTCAAAATGGTCTTTAAAAGAACCAACTACTAATGACCTTTGAAAGATTGAAAAATGAAGTAAGAAAGAAAAAAAATGAAGATTCATAATAAAAGTTACTATGTGACTTTTGCCAGAAAATAAACATTGTGTACACAGTTAAATGTTGAATTTGGCTAAGGCTTTGGTCTATGACAGTAGTTCTACTATATACTCTATACAGAAACAAATGAATGCTAAAAGTTTTCAGAAGAAATAATCTAAGCCATAAAAAAATTTTCTCATTTACTGATGGATAAAAATTTGGTAAAAGCTGGAAATGTATTCATTTCTGTCTGAGGATATAAACAGGATATAAACGTTTCTGACTTAACAGAAGTATGATTCAGCACAAACTTAGTAGCCTGTAGAATAAGTTTTGCAGTGAAGAGACATTTCATTAGTTGAAAGTGACAAAAGCCTCCCTGAAACTAACTTAAGTGAAAAGGAAAAATTTATGGAAAGATAATGGGGTGTCATTAAAATCTAGGAGTGGAACATTCAAAACTTGGAAAGGACAAGGTACAGTTAGTTTGAAAAATGGTTAGAACGAAGGATTCAAATGCTGTTAAGACTCTCTGTCATTCTTTTATCTCTATTCTTGCTCACACATTTATTTGTGCACTCTCTCTCTCTCTCACTCTTTCTCCCTCTCTCCCTCTCCTCCTCCCACCAAAGCCCCATTTGTTTCTCAAGTCCATGCAACAGGAAATGTGGTTACTGACATCTTCCTAAATGTTCACCTTACAGCTTCAACCACTAGGGAGACACACTATACCAAGCTGGGTTATCTGAAAAACAGATGCCAAGATGAGAATGGCCTTGGATCAAATGATGCAAAAATATCCCAAAAGTATTATAGCTGGTGGTTGTTAGCTAACTCCACTCGTCACAGTAGGTTTTCTCCTGAAGGAAAACCTGCAAGGCACTCCCATGACTGCCACAGACACTGTGGTCCTATATCCATAAATCTGAGGGCAGGACTCATCAGCCAAGTTTAAGTTTGGTGCCCATGCAGAACCAATTAACTGTAGCTAGGTGAGCAATGCCACATTATATTAAAGGACACTTTCAAGAGTGATCAATCATCCCAGTTTGGCTAGGATGGAGAGAGTCCCTGAGATGTGAGACTTTGCTAAAATGAGGATGGCTGGTTGTTCTAGAGGTACCCATGTTAATAGGGGTGGGAAGGGCACTTACAATAATCCCCTAAGTTATATACTATATAAACCATTGTATTTTACTACATTTCATGGAGGAAATTCTGTGCTATAGTGCTTTTATTGGATTAGATGAATTTATGAAGTTCTCAGAATTATTCCCTTGAAAATACCAAAGGTGTCATACTTCTTACCATGCTCACTCTCTTGTGCATTTATACATGCTTCTTCCATCTAGAGTGCTTCTCTCACTGAAATTTCTCTACCCTTACCCTTCTTACCACTGTTAGAAATGTCTCTTGCCCATTGCTTTGTTTTCTATAAGAAAGTATTTCCTTAAATGAAGATTAAATCACATACTGAATGCTAAGCACCTATGTAGAGCATAGCATAAAGTAGTAGCTTGCATCAGCCAGGACTCTCAGTTGCATGCAACAAGCTGAGTGTGGAGGATTTAAGGAAGAAAAAAGTTTTATAAACCAATATTGTGAATGGCACTAGACTAGCACTCCTGCTGTTACCAAAAATCATAGAACTGCATAAAATATGTAAGGAAGCTATTTACAGGCATTGAACAATACTCAGCACATGACTGTGATCCACAGGAGCAGAGAAACTCACAAGTAAGCCACCAGAATCACCCCATTCTTTGCCTGGTGACAATTTCCTGACCCCAATACAGAGAGCTCAGGAGGCAAAGATCAGAGTTCAGAGTAGCTGAAGCAGATAAAATCTGCAGAGCAAGCATAAGATAAGACAAAGCTGTGTA